GAACTTCTAATTTTCTGGAGAATGCGGTCCAAATCCCAAGTCTCACCATCAGTAAGGACAAACACTGCAGTCGGTGTCTTGTCCTTGAAAGATGAGCTAGCCGAGACACGATTTCTGAAGGAAAAATCGATGGCAGAGCGAAGTTCGGTACCCCCATAATCAGCCTTGAATGTATCGACTTGCTTGCTGGCTTCTTCGACCGATTCGGCGGAATAGGGTTGTGAATTGGGCCACATGGTCGTGTACTTGTCTCCAAACGAAACGATATTGAAGGTGGTATTTTCAGAGGGTAAAGAGCGGAGCATGATCTGCAAGCTTGCTTTGACAGAGTCCATTCTTCCGCCCCACATACTTCCGCTACGATCGACTAGGAATATGTATTCTAGAGAAGTTGTTGGTGATGTCGAACAAACAAAGGTATGGGAATTCCTCACCTTGACTTGGTAAAGCTGGAAGATCAAACTTGGGGACGAACGTAAAAGCATAGGCGTCGGTGGTCTCCTCTGCCCCTTCACTGGCGAACCAGCGTTCAACCGAACACCTTGGAGTTTCCAATCCCTGAGCCGAGATAACTATGACAATATCACTATCGAGAAAGGTGCTAGCTCCAAGAGAGACAAACGCCTTGCAAGGTTCGTACTCCCCTTTGAGCTCTCTCTCGTTGCAGCCTAACGTCAAACCGATCGGGTGACTTGGAGAGCTGACTGATGTGACAGGTTTGTTCATCTGAATCGCAACAGTCAGATCGAAGCGGTTATGGGTGTTGGCCACGAACCAGGGGACAGTGGTCGGTGCTACACCATAACGAGGCGCGATCGCGGTAGGCATTGTGATACGTATAGCCTGAGGAGAGCTCCCATCATGTGGGATAATAGATACGAAAGAGATGCTGCACGAAAACTCGATCAATTTTGAATCCATTGTGACCCACCCTAGTACTTACTGAACGCTGATTTTTTGGTTGGGTCTGATGTTTCCCAGTGATACACGGAATACTAAAAGAGTCTCAGATCATTTCTTTGTAAACTGAATCGACCTACCATCTGCGTGTTCTTGTTCGAGTAGACCAGCTGTTTTGCCTTGTGCAACTGCTTCCTGATATTGAGCTTTAGCAGTAGCCTTCTCCTTTACTACTCCCTTGATGACTTTCTTCTCATCTATGACAGCTTTGAAAGAGCACACTGCGCCTCCAGGCGGGAGGGGAAAGACGTATTCTACGTCGCGACTGACGGGAGCACTAGAGTGATAGTCCTGAACGAGCTCAGCAATAGAGTAAACATCGACGATGTTGTAGTGGCATCTCGACTGCACGAGCGGGTATTCATCTCTAATCTTGCCCTCAACAGATACGATTCCAGACACAATGATCACAGGTGGGCTCTCAACAACTCTGGCTTGAGCGAAAAGAGACATGGTAGATACTAAGTTTGAAAGACTTGTATTTGTTTGGAGAGACGGTGCTTGGGTATTCGGCCTGGTTATATAGTGGCCTAGCGAGGTCTTGGCTCAGCGTCTATGGGAGGCTGGTTGCCAAGTGCTGAACGCCGTCCAAATTCCACGTAGCTCCACAGGACATTCTCAATGAAATTCGCTGTTATCGGGAGGGAATTCCTGGGAATTTTTGTGCGGATGCTGACTCGGTCGCTGCGTTTTCGTCCCGCAATTCGATCGGCTTTGTCGCTCGCAATATCCGCTCGATTTGTCGCAAATCTAAACTTTTGCTCGTGAGAGGCCAAAAGTCTTTGCGAGCATGGCCACGAGCCACCCAGTCGCATACGACAGGTATAGAGCCGTCTCGCGAGAGAGGCAATTTCAAATTACCCTCACCAGATGGAGGGTTGAGGGGGGGGGGCCTTGGCGAGACTCATACCCTGTTCACGAGCAGTGTCGCAAGGTACTCTACGAGCATTGTCACGAGAATCCCGAGGAAATTAGTCGAAAAAGATGGGGACTGTCGTTCGTGCCTCGGGATCTCGTTCACGAGTACTCTCGCGAGCCTTCCAAAAGACTCATATCCGGTTCGTTGACCCCTATTCAGATCCATTCATTTATTCCTATCGATTACTCCTCACAATTCGTTCGAAAATGTAAATATAATAACATATAATTCACGTTGTTACCAAATATACACGTATCCGTCACAAATTAAGGTGTAGGATATGGCAGGGGCGAGTGCAACGTCAAGAACAGAGGCGAAGACGAGTGGGGCTAAATGTAGGAGTAGAAAAGTCAAATAGTGTTGTTTCATGATAACAGAGACTCACATTGCGAGACAGAAAGAACGCGAGGCTGCATAGTGGGATTAGCCGTGTGTGGCTGGTAAATAAGAAAGGACTCACCAACATAGCACATCGTAAAGCGTCATCACAAAACTGCAGATGACGCAGAACCAGAGGCAGCATTCCTGAGCTTGAGTTGCTTCTTGCGACTGGTCTTGTAGCCTGCGCTCTGTCGAAGGAGGAGAGAAGCCACTGCGGTGGGCACAAATTGCCCGTCTTGATGCTTGAAGATCGGAAAATCAAGCAGTACTCGCTTTATGAATCGACGTTGGTCTTCGAGCGTCTGATCGTTCCAAACAAACTTTGGATTGAGGTAGCGATGTATCCCATCTGTGTCAGTGTCGTCGATCATGGCTTGTACATAGTTCTATGATTATGGTTAGAACACAGCGGCAAAGAACAGTAAGCCTCACCTTGAAGTTTTCATATGCTTCTCTTCGCTCACAGAAAGCCCATGGTGAGTTCTCGTAGATGGTGGCATCTGGGTCCTTGGGTTTCGAGATGGCCATCTTCGGTGGGTTCCGTAAGTGAAGCCTGTAGAAGCTAACTTTCATCGCTGGCGATATCAGCCCGTCGTTGGGCCAAAAGGTTTGCTGGTAGTCGTCCGAAGGAGTTTGCTCGGCTTCTGTCTCTGTGACCTCTTCGTCGGTTTCGTACTTGTTGAAGAGGTCTTGCTCCTCAAGAGATGTGTCTTTGATCTTTCTGCGCTTTGGTGATGGGTTCTGGGGCGGAGGGCTGTTTGCTTCCGAGGGTTGTTTTCGCTTCTTTGGATCTGCGGCATAGGAATGTAGGTGAGCTGACGAGTTGATTCTTCTATGTGCGATGACTGACACATGATGGGCAACGATAACAGGCTGAGGAAGGTGGCGGGTGTGGAGGGGTCCAAGAGGGGTCGATGTGGCCAAACAATAAACTCTGCCACCCATTTCGATGATACACAAACATATACGTGCGACAAATGCATATTCATTTGAACAATAAGAAACGAATAATCGATTAAACAAGCTGGATGCATTGGCAATTACTTGCGTTGACTCCTCGTTGTTGGACCGTGGCCAGTAGG